AAAGATCAAGAGATTTTTAACTTCATGTGTTAACGTACAATTAATATCTAATAATAAGAATAAAATTTATGTATATTATCATCAAAGGTGGAAACAAAATTATTATTCTAAATGTATGATATTATTACGGTAAAACACCCAGGAAAACTCTATTGATCATATAAATGATAACCCACTAATAACTGCTACAAACTGCATCATGACGTAGTTGGTTGGTTGGTTTGTTGTTTAACGCTGCACTCAGCAATATTCCAGCTATATGTCTGTAAATAATCCAGTCTGGACCAGACAATCCTTTGATCGACATCATGAGCATCGTTCTACGCAATGGGGAGCCGATGACATGTGTCAACCAAGTCAGGGAGCCTGACCACACGATCGCCTTAGTTGCCTCTTACAACAAGCATGGGCTACTGAAGACCAGTTCTAACCCGGATCTTCACGGGTATAGAGTATGGGGTCACCAAACTGGAATCACTCATGGATAAGCTACATACATCGACTAATCAATAAATGTCAGTGGAGTCTAATGAGGTATGGCTATTTTAAAAAAATAATCATGGTTGCAAATCTGGCACTGTAAGTGAGTGAGTGAGTGAGTGAGTTTGGCTTTACTCCACTTTTAGCAATGTTCCAGCAATATCAAGGCGGGGGACACCAGAAATGGGCTTCACACATTGTACCCATGTGGGGAATCGAACCTGGGTCTTCAGCATGATGAGCGAACGCTTTAACCACTTGTCTACCCTACCGCCGGCACTGTAAGTGTGTGAGTGAGTTAAAATTTAAAGTCAGATCAGCAGTTTTTCCCCCATTCCTAAACTACTGGCACTGTTGAATAATTTGGTCAGTTGACAGAAATGAGACAGAAATATAGTTGAACCCTGACTTCTATTCTCGTATTTTCTGAAGTCATTTTTATATAAAATTGAAACAACAATGGAAATTATAACCATTTTGTGTTTGTGGTATTAATATCATATAGGAACAATAAATATGTTGGTTTTATTGCTGCTGCAATATTCCAGCTTTACAAAGGCTGAACCAGACGAATCCAGTGACTGATGTCATGAGCATCATGCTACAATGAGTGAGTGAGTGAGTTTGGTTCTAAGTTGCTTTTAGCAATATTCCCACAATATCACAGCGGGGGACACCAGAAATAGGCTTTCACACATTGTACCTATGTGGGGGATTGAACCCGGGTCTTCGGTGTGACAAGCAAATGCTTAAACCACTAGGCTACCCCACCGCCCCTCCCGCTACAATGAAACACAATAACCTCGTCACTTAGCCAGACAATCAATTAATTTAGCCATCATGTAGAATTACAGGTTTCTGGGTACACAGTTTGCACAGAATCTTGACAGGAATATTCAGTCTGTTGTCAGTCTGGTAAATCCATTTACCATATAAAAATATAATGTGGTCATAATATCGTCAAAAGTTACGTCATGACAAACACTGAACCAAATAAGTGACCACCCTGACCAACACACACAGCTGGCCATGTTGGCAACTTCACACATGCTGTGGTCATCCAGATATTTTTTTTAAATGCAATTTTTTTTCAGAATGTTATTTCCGATGACGTGAAGATATGTGATCGCTGGGGATTACCCCGCAGTTTAATCGAAACCACAGTATCGCAAAGAGCTTTATTGCAAGGGATGACTGTATTCCATTGTTCATGATAATTTTATAAAATATTCTGCCAAGCATCATTCAGAAAACAGAATTTCCAGAAAAATTGGTCCAAACACTTATTTTTCAAGTTTACGTAAGAGCTTACGAACGCAGGGTTTCACTTAAAAAACAACGGTTAGGGCAGTCAACCTCGATTTCACATATGTACAAAATTAAGATATTCATCTGTTTTAGTACATCCGACAAAAGTGCGGTCACAGTTGAGCATGATTCATTATATACAAATGGACAACATCACACATCTGTTGTGGAACCTGACTGTCAATGACTGACGATAATCTGGGGTTGTCCAGCAATTCAACAGCTGTTTAGTATAATGATAAGTGAGTGAGTTTAGTTTTACGCAATATTCCAGCAATATCACTGAAGGACACCTGAATGGGCTTCACACATTGTACCCCTGTAGGGAATCGAACCCAGGTCTTCAGTGTTATGAGCGAACACTTTAACCACTAGCCTACCCCACAGCCCCAATGATAAGTGAGAATAGGGTTACCCTCAGCAATATTCCAGCAACATTGGTAGAAGGGTGGGGAGGGCACCAAGATTTGGTTCTATATGGTTTTTCTAAGTTTGGATCAAAACCCAGGTCTATGGTTGGACCAGTGAACGCATTAACCAATAGGCTACCTTGACCAGTCATAAGCAGAGTGAATTTTAAAATTCACAAAAATGACAATGTTGATATTTATTTCTTGGTTTGGCAAAAGTTAAAGGCATTTCAGACCACCAATGATTTAAATGTGATGTCAAATCTGTTAAATGGAAGAATAGCGAGTCACGGTACTGAACCGTGATAACTAGTTGACTTGACATCAGTATCTAATGTCTCTGTGATAGTACACCTTATGATGGTGCATAACTCATAGGAATATGTTGTGATATCTCTGACATGAATTGACCTAAAAAATATTTATCTGATCAGTTTTAGGAATCAACTATAGAAGTTTGAAAGAAAAAATAGCAATGTTTTGGACAGATTTTTCAACTTAACAATATCTGTGACAGTCAGAACTATAATTTCCATACAGATACAAACATCTATTATCATGTACTCTTTACTATTAATGTCAAACACTGGTACTAGATCTACCAATATTACCTAAAGAGTGTTTCTGCTTGCCAAAATGAGCTGAAGTATTGATAGATGAGCTGCAAAGAGCTGATAAGGTGTATACTGCACTGACGATTCTGACTGTGATTTAAATAGTTCCACAAATATATGCTTCTGGTGCCAATAAAAAGATGCCTCTGGTGAAATCATTTAGTTATAAGAATCTTGGCTTCAGTATTTGTCCAATGTGAAATACCTCTTTCTATCCTGATGTACATTAAATAAAATATATCCCAGAAACCTGGCCTGACAATAACATCCTTCACTCCAAGAATATCTCCATATTAACATTTCAGCCCAGGGCCCACTTGCTCAAAACGATCGTAGCACCACGACCATTGTAAGTCTGTGATTGAGTATGGGAGTGAATGTGAGTGAGTTTAGTTTTTTTACGCCGCACTCAGCAAAATGCCAGCTGTAAATAATCTAGTCTAGACCAGACAATCCAGTGATCAACCGCACGAGCATCGTTCTACGTAATTGGGATACGATGACATGTGTCAACCAAGTCAGCGAGTCTTACCACCCGATCCCATTAGTCGCCTCTTACGACAAGCATGGGTTACTGAAGGTCAATTCTAACCCGGATCTTCACGAGTATAGAATATGGGAGATAGGATCATTCGTAGCACTACAATCACTTTTGGCAAGGTGACCCTGGTTAACACACTAACTCTGATCACCACCGTGGCAAAAAGCATGGCAACCTTGACCTCAGATCAGTATAAGGCACCGATTATGTTTCGCCCACAGATATAACAATAAGATGAGGATTCACTACTTGGAAATGAGGTATTATTTAGGAGATCTAACGGAATTATCATTTCAGTTACAATATTCTTTTTATGATTATTAAATTTTTTGACAAGAGGAATGATGACTAGATGCAAGGTTATCTTTCTCCAATATATGAAAGAACAAACACAGCCAATACAGACGATATGATCAATACTAGATATTGATTATTGATATATCATGGAAGCACAATCAGATTCTGTGAAATCATGAGGAACATAATTTACCGATTTTATCCCCAAACACCAACTCAGCCTAAGATATACCCAAACCCAAGTTTAAATGCTGTTATCCTAAGGCTCTTGTTACATAATAGCTAGCAACAGTAAGATCTTAAATGAACAAGGAACAGATTCTTAATTTACTGGTAGTGCAGTAATGAGATAATGAATTGAAAAATATTCAGATTCCAATTAACACAAACAGTCGGACATGCAACTAAACTTATCCGAGTTGTGATAATAATTTCAAGGCTGTTCCTTGCCTCAGAGTCTTGGACATTTTATTGTAATTTATCATCCAAGACTTATTCATGGGCTAATGTTACTTACGATTAACTGACAATCAGGGCCATGAATAAATTAATAATAATAATCATCACCTGACATATGATTGCCCCGAAATACCCAGTTCCTAAAGATGAAGAAACTCACTTTTCGTAACATAAAAAATACATCGCAGGTGCGTTGCAAACCACGAATCACTTAAGCAAATTAATAATTTATCTTGGTCTGCAACAGCTCGAAATGCTCCTACCCTCTTCCGAATTGGCGGTGCAACCATTCTTTCCACGAAGAAATTAATAAAAGAGGCTTGATGGATTTATGACTACTGATGATGACTTTGAGAATGCTGGGATGTTAGCTGCCTTTGCCCATTTTCCAGCTGATCCTGTCAAACATTTTCTTGATCTACTGTCAAACATTTTCTTGATCTACTGTCAAACTCAAATTTTCTTCATCCAACATTTCAGCCTGAGAATAAAGCGACTTCAGCCAGTGGTTTGATGCGAATGTAAACGGTGAAAAGTTACAAGGTGGATCACTGATCATCACTTACAAGCTATCGGTTGTTTGCAACGCACCCTCATTTACCCATTCATCGTTAGTCTGAATTACCTGTCTACAGGTAATGTTCACCAACGCCTTTAAAGGTTTATTTAAAAGAAAAATACATATATAACTCCCGCTTAATATTTCTGAATTTTAACAAACATCTTATTAATTTATTGTGGGAAAAACTGTAAATTTCTATATCAATATCCTACATGTCACTGTTTCCATGGTAACCTAAGAAGAAGAAATAAATGAAGGTAAAGGAAAAATCCCAAAGAAGGAAGTTGTTTGGTAAAGTTTTGGTAACAAAAAATAAGTGTTAAGATTTATCATAAATATTTTCATTTATTGGAGATGACTTTCGGAATGAATAATGGTAGCTGGAGAAACATGAGTGACAGTACAGGTTGGATGATATATGTTAAAACCTAATGACATCTCTTCTAATAGAACTTCTTCGCTTGTGCCTCTCTATTTTGTCTGCAAAAAAAATTAAAAAATAATTTTAGTCAATGTTAAAAACACACAACATGTAAAACAAGCATAGAGATCTAACGATACAAATTCTTGTTACCTTCAGCTGTTTATACTGAGTTAAATGCTTTTCGGATGTTTTTTCCTAATGTCTAATGGCATTATACAACAATTTCAATGAACCTTTACTGTTCAAAATCTGAGTGAGTATGATTTTACGCTGCTTTTAGCAATATTCCAGCAATATCAAGGCGGGGGACACCAGAAATGGGCTTCACACATTGTACCCATGTTGGGATTCGAACCCGGGTGTTCGGCATGACGAGTGAATGCTTTAACCACTAGGCTACCCCACTGCCCTTTTGAAATCTGAAGCTGCAACTAAGCAGTGAGTGAGTGAGTGAAAGCTGTGTTATGCCACATCCAGCAATATTCCACCAGCCTGTCTGTGTTAAAGACTGAACCAGGGACAGACTAAAACCATTTCTTGAAAAGAAATCATTATACAAATGTCATTATTATGGATGAACGAATGAGTGACGGAGCGGGAATGAATGTTCTCTTCCAGATAGGGACTTAAACACGAGTGAGTGAGTGAGTGAGTGAGTGAGTGAGTGAGTGAGTGAGTGAGTGAGTGAGTGAGTGAGTGAGTTTAGTTTTACACCGCACTCAGCAATATTCCAGCTATATGGCGGCGGTCTGTAAATAATCGAGTCTGGACCAGACAATCCAGTGATCAACAACATGAGCATCAATCAACGCATTTGGGAACCGATGACATGTGTCAACCAAGTCAGCAAGCCTGACCACCCGATCCCGTTAGTCACCTCTTACTACAAGCATGGTTACTGAAGATCAGTATTCTAACCCAGACCTTCACGGGTCACTTAAACATGAAATCTGGTTATTGTTTAATGCCAACTGGGTAATGTCCTGCCATATGATAACAGCCTGTGGATCATCATCAAGTCTGGACCAGACAATCCAGTGACTGGCATTAGGAACAACTATCCAGGTTGCCAAGGTAATGCTATCCAGATCACTGTGCCTGACACCCCATAGGTTCGTCACCTGTTATGGCAAGCAAAGGTCAATGGGAGAACGGGAGGCCAGTGAGAAATCGTAACCAGGAATTTTCAATTGAGAAACATGAAGTTGTGGTTGTAGTACTTACTTATAAACCATATATCCAATAATTAGTATAACTTGTGCAGCTAGAGCGATGAAAAACACCACCGGTGTTAAACAGCCAGATTGTGTAGGGCAGTTAGCTGCTGCGGCTCCAGCCTGCGAAAACAACACACACGTTAATGCTCAGATAATAATAATAATTAATAATAATAATTCATTTATATAGCGCGCCTAGTATCCATCTGACTAGTTGCTCACTGGACGCTGTAATCAGAATCTGACTATTAAATAACCCAGATAACACAAGCTGACTGTTAGTTTATCCCACCAGGTACCCATTTTAGGCTGGGTGAACAGAGGACATTATGAACAAACTCACTTGCCTAAGGTGAGACAACATGCATCACATGTGCTTCGTTGTGGGGCAGGACTAAGTCCTAGAAACTCTCAGGAGTCAAGATGCCAAACACGGTCACCCATCCAAGGATTGTCCGAGCTCGACGTTGCTTAACTTCAACTGATTAGTGACCTGAGCTCTACGCACATGACCACACACAGTTTTTTTATCATCAAAGGCAAAGAAGTCATTCCCCAGCCTAATAACCTCACTGTCAGAGAGACCCATTTTGGAGGCGGTCCAACAACCAACAACCAACACCGCCATGAACAATATTTCAGTTATTTCATCAGTGTGTGTTTGATGCAGAAGAGAAACTCAAAACAGTGATGAAAACACACCTTGAGTGAGTGAGTTTACTTTCACGCCGCTTTGGGCAATATTCCAGCAATATCACAGCAGGGGACACCAGAAGTGGGCTTCACACATTGTACCCATGTGGGAAATCGAACCTGGGTCTTTGGCGTGATGAGTGAACGCTTTAACCACTAGGCTACCCCACCACTCAAGGAATCCCTAAAGCAGATAGAGCAGATGGACCCCCGATGATGGCAGTACTAAGGAACACAACTCCTGACTGATGTACAGTACACCACTGGACTGACTGACTAAATACGGTTTTATGCCGCTTTTAGCAATATTCCAGCAATATCATGGCGAGGGACACTGGAAATGGGCTTCACACATTGTACCCATGTGGGGAATCGAACCCGGGTCTTTGGTGTGACGAGCAAACGCTTTAACCACAAGGCTACCCCAACCACCCGTACATCACTGGAAAGGAAAGTCACCATTCACATCCATGAGTTGTCCCTTATCACCATCAGCATCTTGGGTCCATTTGCTCAATCTGCTTTGGGGTTTCAGAAGCATTGCAAATTATCACTTGATGATCCCCCTCGAGACCAGTGAACAACTTATAACGTCGTGAACACCCACCTGCGGCCTCGTGAGCAGCATGGCTATATCATTCCTGGCATTGTTCAAGTTATCCTTCAACTCATGGAGGGTAAGCTGGACTGCCCCGCCCCTCCCTCCTGCTGCTGTCCCCCAGAACTCTGGATCATGCCGGCTTTCTGTTGAACATCATTTATCACCGATCTGAAACAAATGTCCATTTTATAACTCTGCAAAATCCCAGAAATAATTTAAAAAATTGTGCTGTTATCCAAATTCCAGATGGCAGTGTTTGAAATGAAGGTCCTGTATTTCTTAAGGCTTTGGATCTTGGGTTTGTAAACCATTAACTTCAAATGTTCGGACTATGACAATAACAGTGACTTTGATGCTTAATTTCAAACAGGGAAGTCTTTGAATAAATAGGTCTTGTCAGGGCAAAACAATGGTCGACAGCATGAGCAACCATTCTGAAATTGTATTTGCAGTGATGACTGTTTTGACACCAAATAGATTTTCTTTGCATGTCAATTTAAATTAATATCTTATTTTAACCATCATATAATCTTGTTAAAATGTACGGGAGAGTTGGTGGTTAACAGTTAGCCTACAATCTGAAACAAATCTGATAAAACAAAAAATGTAAAATCATCTTATAATTAGTTTATTAGATGTAAACCTTTTCCCCAAATAATCATACTGACATTCATGAAGACATACACAAATATATACATAAACACAACACTGGGAGCGAATGTAAATTTCAAAATTCTTGTAAAGTTTACCAACAAAGATGCTTGGAGTTGGAAAATCCAAATAAAAGGCAGGTAACTCTGCACATATTTTCATGATATTGCTTCATTATGGAAACTAAATTAGCTTCCTGTGTACAAAAAGCGTGTTTTCCCAAATCTATAACTGGGAAACAAAACATTTTTATCAGATGAATATTTGGTACTCACCTCATATCCCGTATTTGGTTTATGAGATCATTTTGATTATTAAAAACTCTTTCTACTTCATGTCTTTGGATTGTGTCAACATTGATTTGACCCTGAAAAAGACAAAAATGCAGGATCATGAATATACATTTTACAAGTCTGTCATGATGATTAACATCAATCACTGGCATACACACAATAGAACATCACAGAAAATGTTTATCAGAGCAATGAGTTGGGTAGAAAACCGCCTTAAACAGTATTTCAGTCACCAGGCAGAAAAGTCAGATGATGAAGTTCTCCAGTGTTTATTATCCACCTGACAAATCCACCAAACATATAGCCCGTTTGACTTCATTTTGAGACCGATGAATTGCTCACTAACACAAAATCTAATAATTACAACAAAACCAAATTTTGCACAGTCACATGAAATCAACAGACCAACTTTGATGATTTGTCTCATAATTTTGGACACCCGAATTAAAAAGTTGTTTAACAAACGATCATTATTTTGTTGTCACTTTTCGCTATTTCTTACGAGGGGGACCACTTGCTGGTAGAACAGCCAGGTGTGCGACTTGTACATATGAAATTGAAATTGCACTGCACACCCTTGTTGATTACCTGGCTGTTCTACCAGCTAGTGGTCCTCCCTCGTAAGAAAAAGTGACAACAAAATAATGATCGTTTGTTAAACAACTTTTTTATTCGGGTGTTATTTGTGTTAGTGAGCATTTCATCGGTCTCAAATGAAGTCAAACGGACTATAATCAGGGTTTGGAACCAATGATCATGGGTGTCTGTCACAACTAAGGGAGACAACTCTGCACAGGAAAAAAACAACAACAGTGCCCCAGACAAGTGAGGAGTGAGTGAGTATGGTTTTACGTGACTTTTAGCACTAATCCAGCAGTATCAATGCAGGGGGTCATCAGAATTGGGCTTCATACATGGTACCCATGAGGGAATTGAACTCTTTAACCACTGGGCTACCCCTCTGCCCCAAAACGGAGCGGAACTGAATATCTCCTCTTTAAGCAGGAAATCAATTCCATAATGCTGTCAAACCTTGAAACATGATCAGGCCAATTCCAGGTTTGAAACTAATGATCACAGATGTCTGTCACACCAAAGGGAGACAACTCTGAACAGTTAAGAAACATGGCCCCAAACAAAGGGGAGGAACTGAATGTCTCCTTTCAGTCACAGCAAAACACAAAAATAGTGTCAAATCAGCAGGAAAATATCAACATCAGTTTCACACTGACCCTGTCCCCTATATCAGCCTACCGTTTGCTGCTGTCCAGTCTGAGGGACTTGACCTTGGGGCACCTGTCCACCGGTCTGAGTACCTATGCTGATTTTAGACAACACCAGTTCCTGTCGGCCAAGGAGTTCGTCCATCTTTCGATTTAAGTCTTTCAGAGTCAGGTGAATGTTGGACTGTCCGTCAAATATCTGCTTCATTTCTCTCTCATTCTGGCTTTCAAACTGAAAAGATAAAAACAAAAAAACAAAGTTAAAACTGAAATGAAAAGTCAAACATCAAAACCAGAGACCTATAAAGAAGAGGTGTCTATGCTTGGGAGGTTATAAGGGCTATTTTCACTACTACGATTGAACTGCAACTCATATTTATAACTAATTTCAACATTTGAAACCATAGATTGTTTTGCATACCATACATAATACTGATGTCATTTTCAAAATCCTAATAACACATAACTATTGCAGGAAACAACAAAAGTGATTGTTTGATGAAACTTTACACGCTCATAAGTTACGTGGACATTATATCAAATATCAGCCTGGGAACAAAACCAGATAAATCTGCACAAGAATGAAAAGGTCAAACAGATTTATTTTATCTTAATCAAGGATATGCTCCCTTGCATCACCTACCCATTTCTCCTCATCCACCTGGTAGGGGTCCATTCGGGCCTTGTCAGGATGCTGCTTCTGAAAACTACAGAAAAACAAGCCTATTACAAAAGGATGCAGGGGAGATAACCCATATATTCCCCCCAAAAGGAGTTCTCTGCTCCTTTTACCATAAATTCATTCAGAGTGAGTACTACTGTTAAGAGACAATATATTATCCAACATGACACTTGACACACTTTGAAAACCAGGTCATAATATAGTTATTTTGTGGTGTTTAAAAATCTAGAATTTATGTTTCAAGATGTAATTTCAAGAAGCAGGTCCGACTAAATACAGGAAATTACACTTTTCTCTTATATGAGTTGTCTACCCTTTGATCACAAACTTAATTAAGAGTATGGTGGCGTTTGAAGATAAAGCACTAAAATTGAAGACAATGCTGTTATCATTTCTACAAGAGGCTGCTTCTAATATATCTTATCTGTAGTGAAATCAATGTTGTTTCCACGTCTTGCCATGTATGATATCCACTTACTCTTCCTTTGCTTTCTCAAGTTCCTTGTAATATTCTTCAAACTCCTTTTCAAACTTTTTCCTCTCTTCTTCAGAAACCTGGGCCTGCAACCAAGGGAAAGAAGTCAGTTTCAGCTGGACACATTGTTCCAAAAATGAGTGAGTGAGTGAGTGATTGATTGATTGATTGATTGATTGATAGATTGATTGAGTAGTGGAGTGAATATCATAATGGGGAACACCAGAAATGGGTGAGTGACACGTTGTACCCATGTGGGGAATCGAACCCAGGTCTTCGGGGTGATGAGTGAACGCTTTAACCACTAAGCTACCCCACCGCCCCTATTCCAAAAAAGGTTGGTAAGCAGTTATTTCTTACATATGTTTTGAGTGCATATTTGGACATAAAATGACAAAGGATGCCAGGAATCTGCTTCACAGTCTGAAATCACGTCACAGAACCTTGGTATCTACCTGGGCCTAGATTTTCGGCTCTCTTTAAGCTAAGATAGCTATGTTAATGTTAATGTATGGCAATATTCCAGTGCTAATAGAGTCGAAAATCTAGGGCCCTGGGCAAGACAAAAGCTGGGATTTTCTTTGATCTTCATGTAGCAGAAATGAGCCATAAGATCAGATTTTGTAATTCTGGATTAGAGTGAGGAGTGAGTCAAACCCATGCCGCTTTTAGCAATATTCCAGCAATATTACAGTGGGGGGACACCAGAAATGGGCGGCTTGTAACCCATGTGGGGAATCCCCAGGTCTTCGGTGACTACGCTTTTAACCACTTGGCTACCCCACCTCCCCTTCTGGATTAGACCTTACATTGAATAGCATTTCAATGATGTCAACCATCTAACACACTATCACAAACACACACTAAAAATTGATCACACTATCCAAACAAACACTAAAATTGATCACACTATCACAAACAAACACTAAAATTGATCACACTATCACAAACAAACACTAAAATTGATCACAGGAATGTAGCCCAAATTGTCACAAGCAGATCCTATGACAGCAAGGGAAGCAACTCTGCCCATGAGGAAAAAGGACAATAGATCATGAGTACTCACAGCTGTGCCGTCATCTGAAGGTGGGAGTAGTGAGTGGGTCAGGAACGACAGGACATCGTGGTCATCTGCAACATCAACATCATCATTGTAGACAAATCACAGACAGGACCGTTTGAACTGAACTTACAACCAGGACTGATTGACTGAGTTTGGTTTCGCCGAGCAATATTCCAGCAACATCAGGAACACCAGAAATGGGCTTCACACATTGTACCCATGTGGGGATTGAACCCGGTCTTGGCGGACGAGCCAGCGCTTTAACCATTAGGTTACAACCAGGAAAAGATGTCATATTAAACATTAAAATTCCACACACAAAAATTGACACTTGGAATTTGTAATGACCTTACAGTAGGCGTGAAACGAATCCACTATGAGGCGATTATGATTCGTATAACGAATAATAGGTGATAACAGTGTATGAAATAAGGCCGTCCGACCGCCGGACGAGCTAGATTTCTGACGGACGGTCTAATGTACAGCTAGCCAGCCGAAGGTCTGGTAAAACTTTTAGATGTTCCATACATCTGAGTAAATTCACCATATTTGGTCTGGTTAAATCCATTTTGGGCTGGTAACATTTTGAAGTTACCAGCCCTGATGTCAGGCTGGACTTTTGGCATATTTCAAACACTGGTAATAACTATGAATACTGGGTAACAAATACCAATTTTGCTATCGATATATACACAATTGGGATACGATGATGACATGTATCTACCAAGTAGGAGCCTCACCACTATATCCTGTTACTCGTCTTTTACAACAAGCATGGGTTGCTGAAGACCAGTTCTATCCCATGGTGTGTCTGAAGACTCACTACTTACCGGCCAGGCCACCTGTGGCTGCAGACACTCCCAAGTATCCGTTCTTCGGGAGGTTGATGTTTTCTACCCTCATACACATCTCAAACTCATTGGCGTTCTGGGTGAGGCCGTTGTTGACGAACACCTAAAACATATACGATTGATAAGCCATGAATGAAAATAGAACTCTACAGGAAAGATGAGTATTTTTTCTAAAACCCCTCAAACAAAGTGCTAACATCTGTGACTGACCATCACTCAAACAAAAGAGCAGAGTACAAATTGCTGCACACAGCAATATTCAAGCTATATGGCGGCGGTCTGTATATAATCAAGTCTGGACCAGACAATCCAGTGATCAACAGCATGGACATCAATCTACGCATTTGGGATACGATGACATATGTCAACCAAGTCAGCGAGCCTGACCACCCAATCCCGTCCAGTCGACAAGCATGGGTTACTGAAGACCAATCCTAACCTGGATCTTCACATGTCTTGGTCCTTGTAGAACATCAAATCATTTTTGCTACTCATTGAACAGATGATTTTGTTCCTAGATTGAAAACATTGTATTACTTCCAGAATGCCAGTCATTAACCATTGTGAACAGAAGTAACAGAGATGTCTATTCAACGGACTGTTATTTTAGTCAGCTACGTCCGGATAACAAAGCATTGTTCTCATAGCAAGTTGATTGTCAGGACTGATATTTTAGTCAGCTACGTCCGGATAACAAAGCATTGTTCTCATAGCAAGTTGATTGTCGGGACTGATATTTTAGTCAGCTACGTCCGGATAACAAAGCATTGTTCTCATAGCAAGTTGATTGTCAGGACTGATATTTTAGTCAGCTTCGTCCGGATAACAAAGCATTGTTCTCCTATAGCAAGTTGATTGTCGGGACTGATATTTTAGTCAGCTACGTCCGGATAACAAAGCATTGTTCTCATAGCAAGTTGATTGTTGGGACTGATATTTTAGTCAGCTAATTCGTCGGATAACAAAGCAGTGTTCTCATAGCAAGTTGATTGTTGGGACTGATATTTTAGTCAGCTACGTCGGATAACAAAGCAGTTCTCATAGCAAGTCGATTGTTGGGACTGATATTTTAGTCAGCTACGTCCGGATAACAAAGCATTGTTCTCATAGCAAGTTAATTGTTGGGACTGATATTATAGTCAGCTACGTCCGATAACAAAGCATTGTTCTCATAGCAAGTTGATTGTTGGGACTGATATTTTAGTCAGCTTCGTCCGGATAACAAAGCATTGTTCTCATAGCAAGTTGATTGTTGGGACTGATATTTTAGTCAGCTATGTCCGGATAACAAAGCGTTGTTCTCATAGCAAGTTGATTATCAGGGACTGATATTTTAGTCAGCTACGTCCGGATAACAAAGCATTGTTCTCATAGCAAGTTGATTGTTGGGACTGATATTTTAGTCAGCTACGTCCGGATAACAAAGCATTGTTCTCATAGCAAGTTGATTGTCGGGACTGATATTTTAGTCAGCTCGTCGGATAACAAAGCATTGTTCTCATAGCAAGTTGATTGTTGGGACTGATATTTTAGTCAGCTACGTCGGATAACAAAGCATTGTTCTCATAGCAAGTTGATTGTTGGGACTGATATTTTAGTCAGCTACGTCCGGATAACAAAGCAGTTCTCATAGCAAGTTGATTGTTGGGACTGATATTTTAGTCAGCTATGTCCGATAACAAAGCATTGTTCTCATAGCAAGTTGATTGTTGGGGACTGATATTTTAGTCAACTACGTCCGATAACAAAGCATTGTTCTCATAGCAAGTTGATTGTTGGGACTGATATTTTAGTCTGTAAATCCGTGAGAGAGTTTGACAGATTCCACTGTATACTGTAAACCATGAAATTAATGCGTCATGAGTTTAATGCGAAAGCCGAGGGTCTAGTCTAAAATGCATCACAAAATTAATGCAAGCTCAGGAATTTTATGATAAAATGAGACACCCTGAATCTTTGATGTTGTTAATTTTCTTTCACACTTGTTATTTACCAAATAACCTGAATTGGCGCTTTTAAGCAATGAATGGAAATAAGCTGACGATGTTTTGATTACGCTGCCATGTTTGATCACGTGATTGCTTGCTATTACTTGTTTTATGGCAACATTTATAAACGTAATCCAACTTGAAAGACTTCTGTTGAAATGGTTTGCTCAAATTAAAGGGTGAGTAAAGATCGCTGAAATGATCCTGCATGGTTGGAGAATGTCCGCCAGGCTGATGTGCTTGAGTGACTTTAAACAATGACCAGTGATTGTAACCAGTGATAAGTACATGTAACTTGAGATACCTGTAGTGAGGAAATGGTGCAATGTGTAGTGTCAACACTTCCGCTATTGTTACATAATTTGCTGATGAATAAGTTCAATGGATATCAATTAGTGTCTTGGAAGTAGTGCTCATTTGTCAATTAATTTTATGAGATATATCTAGATTGTTGTTATATTCTGTAGACGACAAGAGATTTACGTTTTCTGTCTTTTATTAAGTTCTCAAAAGTAGACATGGTCAGACTGAAATGCGTCATTATAATAATGCGAGAAGAGTACAGACGCATTTTTCGCATTAATAAAATGCTCGCATTAATTCCGCGATTTATAGTATTCTGCATTTGAATCTCTAGTTTCCACATTTCAGAATAAATCTGTTACAATCCTCCTCCCTCTGATGCAGCATCTACATCCTCTACCCAGTCAGACTGATCAATAGTGTTGGGAATTAGTTAAAATCTCATAATTGATGATTGGTTCAACCGATCAATCATCGAAAATAATTGGTGAGTGTCCTGGTTATGTTTGTTAATGCACCAAAAAAAAAAGAAAAACATGTAGTTCTTATAATATTTTTTCTGCAAATTGCACAAAAGCATATGCAAATTTCACATCTTTACAGGATGACTAGTATGTTAGGAACATAAATTTCCTTGAGTATTCAAGATAAATTCAATCCTGACTTGGAATGGGCTTGTAGTGCTTATGAAATGTAACAGACAAAACCAACCTTGTGAAAAAAATATTGTTAATGCAAACAAGTATTCTAAAATTTTTGTGTTCGATTATGAGAAAACATGATCGATTGCTTGGTCGTTTAGTCATTGCGACTAATCTTAATCGGACCACCACTACTGATCAAGCTACTCACTGTGATGGCCTTGTTGTAGTACTCTATCCGGAGACGTACAGGGAACGGCTTTGTTACGGAAGTCTCTCAAACAACCACCCAGCATCTGAGACTGACCATCACTGAAACAAAGGAGGAGAGTGAGTGAGTACAATTTTACACTGCTTTTAGCAATATTCCAGCAATATCATGGCATAGGACACCAGAAATGGGCTTCACATATTGTGCCCATTTTGGGAATTGAGCCCGGGTCTTCAGCGTGATGAGCGGACACATTAACATGCTACCCCACTGGCCAAAAAGGAGGAGTGAATAAATAGGGGTGAAACGGTATACTGTGATATTACTATCACTGGCCCGTGGTATTTTCCCTTTGGTTCAGTATACCGTAATGCAATAAAAAAATTCGGCATTTTCAGTTTTCGTACCGTTTTTCTATCTAGTCATAAAATGACAGTTTTGTTCATTCAAAATAACAAAGATAATGGTAATTTTTTTCCATGTTATTAAACAATGTAAGGTTTGGCTCTTGTCAGTTTTCTGCAGTTTTCTGATCAAATCTCATTTACCAAACCTAAACGGACCAAACAGAACGTCTAGTAGTAGTACTGGTACTGCAATACGAACCGTACCGTGGTAAGACTAAGAGCATACTGTTTCACCCCTAAGAATAAAATCCCCAACATCTGGTTCATGTAGAACATCTGAACCCTTATGATCTGATCAGATGACCTTGTGCCCAGATATGTTTGTCCACAAGTTTAATGCAACACTCAGGAATATTCCAGCGATATTGGAACGCCCTGCAAATGATCAAAGCCTGACCAGACAGTCTACTTCAGGAAGGTGAGTGAGTGAGTGAGTTTAGTTTTACGCCACACTCAGCAATATTCCGGCTATATGGCGGCGGTCTGTAAATAATCGAGTTGGGACCAGACAATCCAGTGATCAACAGCATGAGCATTGATCTATGCAATTGGGATACGATGATGTGTCAACCAAGTCAGCGAGCCTGACCACCCGATCCCATTAGTCGCCTCTTACGACAAGCATGGGTTACTGAAGATCAATATTCTAACCCGGACCTTCATGGGTCCCTACTTCAAGAGCAGAATCATGATACTTACTTTGCATGATCAAATAAAAGAGTCCCATCATTTGTCACTGCCATGATATATGGGTTGTTTTGCTGAAATGAAATAACACATACAATTAGCTCTGTTGATTAAATATAGAATTGTTTGACTATATTGAGTGAGTGACTTTAGTTTTACACCGCTTTTAGCAATATTCAAGCAATATCATGGAGGGGGACACCAGAAATGGGTTTCACACATTGTACCCATGTGGGGAATTGAACCTGTATCTTCGGCGTGATGAGCGAACGCTTCAACCACTAGGCTACCCCATTACCCTTTATTTCACTATGATCACAAACAGTCAAATGAGAAAGCAAAGGAAGACCCTCAGGATCTTTTTGGACCACGCCCCTCCACCATGTGTGTTGAAATATGAAATGGCCCATTGAAAACATCAGGGTCCCTTATGGCCTTATTAATCCCACATGGCTCGATCCAACTGAACACCGGTGCCCTTCTAAAAATTATTTGGATTTACATTGGTTAACCATATTGTGTAACCATTTTGAGATTTACCACTAGACATGTCCAGATGACAAAGAGTGTTCAGACATTTTGAGATAAAACATCACTAGATATATAATGATTTTCCATTTAAATTAAATTTCCTGATCTGCTGGGCATTGTTTTATATGCAGAGATTACGATTACCGTGTGAATATTAGAGTAAACTAAACCAGAAATAGCAATCAGCTGCCTCCAAATGTCTTGGTGATTCGGTTAAAACATAGCTAATAAAATAACTCCAAGAATCAAATAATTTCGATGCTATGGTCGGAATAAATATATCTGAAATTATAATTTTAGCAGGATTCATGAATTTTAATATTGCATTATTTTACTCACAAAGTTTCATGAATATTATAGACTCAGATGTCAGAGATTCATTTAATCAATTCCAAAATGTCCATGTTCCACGTCAAACACTCAACTACGCTAAATGTCAAACATGAAACCATGTTCCAGGTCAAACACGTAAGCATGTTCAGGTCAAACATGAAACCATTCCAGGTCAAACATGTAACCATGTTCCACGTGAAACATGTAATTACGTCAAATGTCAAACATGTAACCATGTTAAAACATGAAACCATGTTCCATCAAACATGTGTAACTCGGTGCAGGAAAACCATGTCAAACATGTAACAATGTTCTTGCAACCATCTTCCAAACATGGTTCCAGGTCAAACATGTAAGCATGTTCCAGGTCAAACATGAAACCATGTTCCAGGTCAAACATGTAACCATGTTCCACGTCAAACATGTAATTACGAAATGTCAAATATGAAACCATGTTCCAGGTAGTTTGAAACCATGCTCAAACAACGCTAGTTAAATGTCAAACATTTTTCCAGCAAACATGCAACCATGTTCCAGGTCAAACATATCACCATGAAACCAGTTCCAGGTCAAATATGTAACCATGTTCAGCAAATGTCAAACTGAAACCATGTTCCACAAACATGTAACCATGTTCCAGGTCAAACATGAAACCATGTTCCAGGTCAAACTTGAAACCATGTTCCAGGTCAAACATCAAATATGTTGCAGAAAACCATGCAACTAAATATCAAACATCAAATATTCCAGGTCAAACATGCAGAATGTTGCAGCACGCCTGACATTCTTGTCTTCCACTGTGTAGAATGTATCAGCAGCCTGACATACTGACACTGTGTTATGTACACACTGTCACTCTGGCAAACAGATGCTAAAACAAACACATCTTGAGAAGGAACAAGACACTGTCGTCTGTGCAAGCATAACTTTAACTCACAGTTAATATACTCACCTGTCCGTCATTATCAAATGAATCAAGGAAGATACCGAGACCGTCCCACTTGTCGTTGCTGCCGAAGACGTCGCCTTCCACGCCCTTATCCTTGGTGTACCAGATAGCCTACAGCACACAAATCGCACATAATTGCCAAGTTAACATAATATTTGGATGCATGGATCCATTTGTATATCCAGTCAAAATATTTAACACACTCATACTTCTTGGTCTCTTGCCTTTTAATGAAATCAGTCACTATCACAGAAATAGTAACTGTGAATATTAGTAAAATCTAAATATTTTTTATATTTGTATACTTATCCTGCACTACTTACTTCCTGCACTTATTGCTAACGGCTCGAAAAGCGTGGCTTGCCAGATGATGTCAAAAAGATGTAGAAGTGCAGGAAGTAAGTAGTGCAGGATTAGTTAAAAATAGATTTTATTCAGCTGTTTACAGAAGCCAAATTCAAGGCCCTTCAAAGATATTTTACCTAATTTTAAGACACTTTGAACATGATCAGGACACGTTTTACTTAAGGCCATTGCAAGGTCTGCAGTCAACTTCAAAGCCTTAAGATATTTATCAATTTTAGGCCTTCTTTCATCGCCATAACCACTGAAGATTCAAATTTGAGGCCTTTTTAAAATCACATATTTAGCCCATTATGATCATTCGTCAGACTTATTCAAGCCTATATATACATCCCTTGTAATGACGTCTTCATACTATTCGTAGCAATGTTTGAAAAAAACAAATGTGATTAAACTTAACAGGAGAAAAATAAAAAAAAGAGTGAGTGAGGTTTTAAGCTGATTTAAAGAGTTTCCAGTGAAACATTTCGCAAAGGAAGGACACCTACCATGCCGTCTGCTCCAATACGCCCTCGACCAGACACACGAACAGCAACCTCAATCTCCCAGTTTTCATATTCAAGGGGGTTCTTTGTCCACACATATCCTGTAAAGAGACGAGGAACAATGAAAGATACATTTGATTTACATACATACATACATATTTGAACCAGAATAGTTCTTTGTTTCTTCAAAATTATATTTTCAGAGTTAAAGTGTTAGTCTGATGAGTATGTGAGTTTGCTGTCGTGTCACCTTCTTTTTTTGATTACTTGGTTTATGGATCCGCCAATTCCATGTGAGGAATCAACCCTGAGGTGTCGGTGTGACAAGTGAACACTTTAACCATAGGTTTACCCCACTGACCCTAAGTCCTAAGTAGTTTGCCCCTAAACAGGAGAGACATGCTTTCTAATGTTTGTTAAATACACCCATAAAATAATACGAATAATATCTTATGACTTTACTTGAGTACCAAAAAGAAACAATACATTCTGTTAACCATGTTGTTTTCAAGATGGCGTTCTGGAAATCCTCTATGAGAGGCTACTAATGGCAACAAGATAATCAAGTTGTTTTTCTTAATTTCTTATCCAAATCAGTCGGAATCAATCATTCTCACAGTCAGCCATTCTTGTGGGATCTAGCATGTGGCGGCAGACTGATAGGATCAAAGCAGGTCCCACACAAACCACTATTTCCCGCTGTAGCGAGCACGCTCACTACACAGACACTCGGATAGTACAAGATTTTGCACTTTGTTAATTGATAAACATATCAATTCAAATTAGTGAGTGAGTTAAGTTTTACACCGCACTCAGCAATTTTCAGGATATATGCCGGCGGTCTGTAAATAATCAAGTCTGGACCAGACAATCCAGTGATCAACAGCTTGAGCATCGATCTACGCACATGGGATACGATGACATGTGTCAACCAAGTCGAGCCTGACCACCTGATCCGTTTGTCGCCTCTTACGATAAGCATGGGTTACTGAAGATCAATTCTAACCCAGATGTTCATGGGTCAATTCCAACTAGTATGATCCATGATCTAACATCGTCATCAACCCGAGTCAATCTCAGTGAACAACACAGTTGTATCAGTGTAACCATGGTAACAAGGGATGGTTATTCTGTCAAGTTAAGACACTTCTACCGACTTGATGAGTTCACTAACCACTGATATTGGAGATAAGATCTTGCCCTCATTCCACAAAACAGTCTTAGCGCTAAGGCACATGAAACTCACTGTGGAATATGTATGGGAGTTATGTTTATCTTACTGCTGAATTTGCTATGTGGAACATTGTCAGGGAGTACGCTTTATGCCTCTTCTGGCAATATTACTGCATTACTAAAGCGGGAATGGGATCCAAGCTTTCATTGCACATGTGAGGTGAGGTGAATCTGGGTTTAACGTCGTGCTTGAGAATATTTTGCTCATATGACAACGTGCATGCGTGTGTATGTGTAAGTGCGGCTGCTTGTACTAGCCCAGACTGAAGCTGGTTTTATAGTGCTAGCCCACTGAGATACCATGCCGCAGTGAAGCATGAATACCCCACTCAGACACATTATACTGACTCTGAGCCGACCAGTCCTTGTTGTACCCATTAATGCCAAGGGCCAGGCAGGGACCAACAAGTACCATATTTTAACGTCTTTTGGTATGAGGCGGTCGGGGATCAAACCCGCGACCTTCCGGTCTCTCGGCGGACGCTCTAACCACTACACCACGGAGGCGGTCTGCATATGTGAAGAGAACCTAGGTCTTTATCACGACAAGTGGAGTGAGTGAGTTGGGTTTTATGCCGTGTTTAGCAATATTCCAGCAATATCACAGCAGAGAACACCAGAAATCGAACCTGGGCCTCTTTGTCATGACAAGCGAACGCTTTAACCATTGGGCTACCCCACTGCCCCCATGACAAGAGCAACAAAGCCCACGGGGATGCTAAACTTCTTCAAATAGGTTTTTATGAAACTTTATTCAGCATCACACTATTACAACTGCACTGTAACTACGGTAACACTCATTAGGAAGATATAGGTAGTTTTTAACAAGTTATTTTCTGGTCCTCTAAAACATGATGAAAAAAACTGTTACAGAAAATACAAATTCACTGAACTTTGTATGTATTATCGATCTCTTACCTTTTTTGCTCCTCAGAGATGGGGTCAACCGGATTCCTTCATCCCCTGCAAGTGCAGCTGAAAAACAATATAACACATTTTAAGATTTTATTTGTTTTCTGCTTTTGACATAGAGTACCTGTCATAATGTGTTCCACATTGTCAGACGCTATCACTGATAACCATCTTTCCATGACTTGGTATTAAAAATTCCCGCAGCAAATTATAGCATGTTTTTTTCATTCAAATATTCGACTCCTTACATCTTACTTTCTGAAAATTTAATGGACAGGGCAAACAAGATGTATGAAATAATATTCAAGCTATATGAAGGTGGCCTGTAAATAATTGAGTCTGGATAATGGATTAGAGTGAGGGAACATGGTTTTACGTCGCTTTTAGCAATATTTCAGCAATATCACGACGGGGGACACCAGAAATGGGCTTCACACATTGTACCACTGTGGGGAATCGAACCCGGGTTCATGGAATGATGAGTAAACGCTATAACTACCAGCGTTCATGATCATAAATACACCATACATAAATGACATCCTTTTAGTGTTAATTAATATCACATAGGGCATAAACAATAATAAAAGAGGTTGAAACTTGCTGAGTGAATATCCAGTGTAGGTAAAATATAATGCCTCGGACAATTTGCTTCAAATTTTGGATAAATTTTGGATCAATGTCCATCTTAAAACTATGAACATTGTACAATGTAATAATAGCATTCATCAATAATGATCAAATTATTTATTTACAATTTTTGGTAACAAAGCCATTCCGTTGTTGCATTAAATGTTTCATGTATGAAACAATAGGATATTATTACATGAATAGATAAGGCCAGATCAATTTTATTTCTTGTTTACGGCTCCAACGGTCGTATTTTTTGAAGGATAAGAAAAAATATTCCCCACTCAAAAAATAAAATCCTAATTTTTTTATTGGCCAAAAATGTGAACTTAAATATTTTTTGATTGTTTTTGCCCCATATACAATTCCTAAATTTCCAAAAAGTATTGTATTGTAGTATTTTATAGGAATATTACTTAAATGATTTTGTTTTCCCTCCTGCCTCTAGGTTTTCTGAGGAAAAAAATCCGAAAAAAAACAAGAAATAAAATTGGTCTGGCCTGAAATATATAAAAACATGAACTGAAACAGGAGTGTTTTATGTAGGAAAGATGTGTGGATCATGTATCATATCATCTGAGTATATTATCGATGCAACAATGAATTGTGACAAAACTGACATCCCTGGGATCTGATGTCATCCCTGACAAATTTATCATAATAAATCTTTCAAGGGTTATCAACAACAGAAAACCTCAATTCATCCATGACAATAGCATTGCCATAACTTCACTAGCCCCTAGCCTGGATTAAGCACACCTTTCCCTCCCAAGGCCATTTAGCAGTGAGATAGTATCAGATCTCACACGACAGCTTGTTAAACAATAAATATGGCTGTGATGTAATCAGGGCTTGGGGACATTACACCGCTGATAAAGGCTGGGTCTGATGTAGAAGGAACTTTAATTCTGGGATTACTGTCACAGAGACAGTTAAACCGCCGACTGGACATAAACAATGGTTAATGAACAGAATAATGTGAATCAAAATGAGTAATGAAAGAAAAAAATGAGTAATGGTCAAAATGAGTACCGGTAATAAAAGAAAATAATGAGTAATTTAAGTCAGAACAGGTAGCTTTTCACCTGGCCATAAAAAAAATCAGATCTCTATTGAATGCAGCTGTGATATTATTTAAATGTATTTCAAGATAAAACAAATCGGTAGAAGCTGATGTTTGAGATGAGAATTTGGGGATCAATTTACGAATGTACTTTAATCATAAGTTCAATAGTTTCCATGTTTATTATGACAATGAACATGATAAAATATCAACCCTCTGCTCTCCTGATTGACAATCTATGCACTTAGCCAAGTGGTGAGTGAATGAGTGAGTGAGTGAGGAGTGAGCTAAACTTTTAAGTTATGCAAGCAGCATTTCAGCCACAAAACTAAGACTAAACCAAAGAGGTGGTCACAGATCCTAACTATCACAATACATTGCAATACTGAATTCTAGGTGCTTCCAAGTTGAAAAAAACAACCATTCCAAGGTCCAAGACAAGCAAGATTTTAAACAAACAAATGGATTTGGTCTTTCCATGCTTACCATATTTCTGTCAAATAACAGTCCTGTATTTTGGCAAAGTCTCCATATGGAACTAAATAGTTTTCCAATGTTATCATGGCAATGAGTGTAAACTGTAAAGGTTCTGAAAATTCATTTCAAGAGCAAACTGAAAATACAGGATTGAGACAAAATCGTGAGATTAGAAAGCTAAAAGAGCGGGTTCAGAAAAACTCTATTTTGGACCTGTAGATATTTTGTGTTAGACGTCTGGGGTTATTTACATATAAAAGAATGTTCAACCTCTGAGGACAGTAAACTATGTTCATAACAAACATACTTATAGTGAGTGAGTTTAGTTTTATGCCGCTTTTAGCAACATTCCCATAATATCAAGGTGGGGGACACCAGTGATGGGCTTCACACATTCTGCCCATGTGGGGAACTGAACTCAGGTCTTCGGTGTGATGAGCGAACACTTCAATCACAAGGCTACCCCACATACTTATAAGGAATGGATGGTTATAATGAACTAGGTATATTTTGTCCCAGTCTCATACAGTATATTTTAGTTGTAATGCATATAAAGAACTACTGTTATAACAAACTAAAATTTGGTTATTTAATATATCGGTAGTTTACTGTATCTGTTATGACTTTTGTTTAGGCCAGACCAATTTTATTTTGTGCTTTATGGATCTGCCTGTCATATTACTTACAAGAAAAATGTTTTAGATTGTTTTTTTGCCCAATATACACTTCATAAATTGCCTAAAGTAAAATACTTTGAGTATTTAGAAGGAATATTACTTTGACTGGTGATTTTATTTTTATATTTTTTTCCCTCCTGCCTTTAGGTTTTCTGAGGACAAAAATCCGTAAAACAAGAAATAAAATTAGTCTGGCCTTAATGATATTTGTTTTCACTCCTGGAAAATAGAATTGGCAAAAATTACGGAATAAACAGTCTTTGGAATAATTGTGAATGCCAAGATCAGTATTATACAGACTACAGTGTAAATAAATCATTGACATAAACCACACATTTAATCATATCAATATATTGGCTACATGATGCTGACAGAAGAGATGAGCTAATTGAAGTTCTAGAATTCCCATCTGTAAGTCAGTTATCATGGTGTTACAAGAAACAGCTGTCCATATACATGCATCCATCAACACCTGTCAATCATTGACACCTGAAACAATGTCCCTGCTGTGAATACTGCAATTTCTTCTATTCATTGAATTAAATAACACTTCCCTCAATATTCTGAAATTTAGTCTAAAATGGGAATGATCTGGCAATGTCTTGACAAATTATTATTCAACTTTGGAATATTTTGTTAAAAGCTTAAATGTAAAAAAATAAATCATTATGTTCACTGGTGTTCTGACTGTCAGTTTTAAGAGTGTAAAACTAAGCATGGTTGCTGGTGTTGCCATCAGTGAAATATACATCAACAGTGATCAACAGCATGAGCATCAATCTATGCAATTGAGATATGATGTGTCAAGCAAATCAGCTAGTCTGACTAACAGATTCTGTTTGTCGCCTGTTACCACAAGCATGGGTTGCTGAAGATCAATTCTTACCATATATATACATTTATATATTAATTACCAATATGACAATTATTGTTGTTATTTTTACAACAGAGATGATTAATTAAACAGATGTAATTTACTTGAAAACATCATGTCTTCATTGTGCCTACACGTGATTGAACAAACAAGGTTTCAGTTCCTGATTAATAAACATAATTCATTCAATCCGAGATGAGCCTTATCTGAATGACAATCAAGAAGTCCTACAATAGAATGGGTTTTTTTTTACAAAGGCAAAAACATGTGAAACATAATATCACTTAAGATCCCAATAGTTTAAAGGACAAATCTTCCGTGTTCTCATTCAGTTTCAAACCGGTGCAACTTTAATTCTTTTTAACATAACGTACACTTCAAATTGAGCAATTGTCGGATGAATAATTATTAAAACAACCATGTGAGATGATTTGGAAACAATCTTAAATCACTATCAGTTAAAAAACGCTATTGTAAATAAACCATATGGGACAGCTGATAGCTACACGTGTACAATTTGTCCAACCAAAATGTGCCGCATACCCCTCAGGATTGACAACTTACCTCCGCCATGTTCCCAGAAAGGCACGCTTTGATCTTGCTGCACAAGATGTGGGCCTTTAAAACTGAACTTGTACTCAAATTTCCTCTTCGGTAAAACTGCCTGAGCGATTAAAACACAACTTAACAAAACAACAACAGAGCAGATCGCTTCGGTGACAGCCATCTTGAAGGTTTGAAACAGCTCCCTCTGTAGCTGTGTCCCCGAACTAAGAGGAAGTAATTCTAATTTTCGCTTGAGCGACAGCCGTTATAAAGGGTAATGTCCATTATGCAATTACGATCACGTGAACAATTACCCTATTGTTCAACTGTCAACACATCAATCACCTGGTCTTCCTTTTTAATTGCTCCACATTGCTCCAGGAGTTTTTGAACTTTATGGCAGATCGAACTGATTTACCTAAAGCTTCAAAATTCAAACAGATGCCGGTGAAGCGGAATATTTGCCCCAAACTCCTCGAAAGAGCCTGATTAAAAAAACCCAAAACACAGCCGATTTAAACTTTGAAATAAATAATTTCTAACGTAAAATAATTACAACTACGTTATTTCAAATTCTGCTGACTCTTATTTACACGTTATAAAAAAGCACCCATCTCTCTCCCACCCAAACTCCACCCACCCACCCCACCCACATAAACTAGCAACAAAAAAAGCAAGAAATCATGTCACCAAAGCACACTACACACCAAAGCTACATATGAAAAACAATTTGTCAAATATTTTCTTCCATTTTTATCTTCTTGAATTTTCCATTTTTTGGAGACATACATCACTTCAAACGTTTTACTTTTACAGTGCGAAGTTTCGGTACACGTGCAATAAAACTACAGGAATAATATGTTCCGAATCAAATTAAAAAACCCAACAACAACAAAAATCCCTGAAAGAATAAGCAGTTAAACCCTGTCTTTTTGAAATAATTTTCGCAGCATTACTCCGGTAGTTTGTTTATATATCAGTCATAAAACGAACAAATAACGATTAAAAGTTAATTTGCCTAAAATATCCAACATTGGTAAAAACCCAACGTTTCAGTTGTTTGGTCCCTGTTCAGAATAGACTCAACCGGCGCCTAGTCAATTTCGCACGTGCAAATCAAGAATTGCGTGACAACGGGAGTGTTTGACTCGCTGCATTGACTTTTGCCTATTGTGCCTGTGGGAAAACAGTAGCGGTGATTTTCACGCTTTGGATCATATGGTAAGTTCAACGGATCACCAACATCGCGGCATAAGGCAGTGGAAATAATCAAACGAAAGTGAGTGAGTGAGTTTAGTTTTACGCCGCACTCAGCAATATTCCAGCTATATGGCGGCGGTCTGTAAATAATCGAGTCTGGACCAGACAATCCAGTGATCAACAGCATGAGCATCGATCCGCGCAATTGGGAAACGATTGCAAATGGTTATGATTAAGAATGTAACTAAGTTTAGAAGCACTATCCATATAGATAAAACCTGGAATATTTTGTTCAGCCGCTAAAATTAACTTATATCTCAAATCCGAGTGAAAGTAACAATCAATAAGAAAGTGTGTTTCATCTTCTACAGAAGCTTGTCCTATTTCTGTACAGAACTGACATATTCTGTCGTTCAGTGGGGTAGGAGGCTTGTAGTATCTTCCTGTCTCAATTGCTAAGGGGAGGTTACCACATCTGAACTTAGATAGGATACGTCGTTGATCCCGATTTTTGACTGTCTGAACGTAGCAACTTGTTTTTGGTTCAGTCTTGAATGTTTTATAGGTCTGGAGCTTGTTCCGTTTTGGTTTGTTGTGGTCGTTCCATGGTTCACGTGTCCAGTCGTACAAAAGTCTTTGAAAGCATCTGTTTTTCCCTTACTCGATTATATCTGTAGCACCGTGGCTTTCCAACAACTTGAACACTCTTTTCTCCCAAGATCTCATGTGTCAACCAAGCCAGCGAACCTGACCACCCGATCCCGTGGGTGTAAGGGTAAGGTTGGGTGGGTGAGCTGTGTAAGGATGGGGTTTGGTGGGCGTGGTGTGTAAGAATGGGGTTGGGAGGGCGTGGTGTGTAAGGATGGGGACTGGGTGGGCGTGGTGTGTAAGGATAGGGTCGGGTTGGCGTGGTGTGTAAGGATGGGGCTGGGTGGGCGTGGTGTGTAAGGATGGGGTTGGGAGGGCGTGGTGTGTAAGGATAGGTTCGGGTTGGCGTGGTGTGTAAGGATGGGGATTGGGTGGGCGTGGTGTGTAAGGATGGGGTTGGGTGGGCGTGGTGTGTAAGGATGGGGCTGGGTGGGCGTGGTGTGTAAGGAGGTGGGGATTGGGTGGGCGTGGTGTGTAGGGCCCACTGGCCATGGGGTTGGTGGGCGTGGTGTGTAAGGATGGGGTTAGGAGGGCGTGGTGTGTAAGGATGTGGTTGGGAGGGCGTGGTGTGTAAGGATGGGGTTGGGTGGGCGTGGTGTGTAAGGATGGGGTTGGGAGGGCGTGGTGTGTGTGTGTAAGTATGGGGTTAGGAGGGCGTGGTGTGTAAGGATGTGGTTGGGAGGGCGTGGTGTGTAAGGATGGGGTTGGGTGGGCGTGGTGTGTAAGGACGGGGGTGGGTAGCCTAGTGTCAACCAAGCCAGCGAACCTGACCACCCGACCCCTTGGGTGTAAGGGATGGGGACTGGTTGGGTGGGTGGAGGGCGTGGTGTGTGTAAGGATGGGGTTGGGTGGGCGTGGTGTGTAAGAATGGGGTTGGGAGGGCGGGGTGTGTAAGGATAGGTTCGGGTTGGCGTGGTGTGTAAGGATAGGGTCAGGTTGCGTGGTGTGTAAGGTGGGATGGGGCTGGGTGGGCGTGGTGTGTAAGGATGGGGTTGGGAGGGCGTGGTGTGTAAGGATAGGTTCGGGTTGGCGTGGTGTGTAGGGATGGGGATTGGGTGGGCGTGGTGTGTAAGGATGGGGTTGGGTGGGCGTGGTGTGTAAGGATGGGAGGGGACTGGGCTGGCGTGGTGTGGTGTAAGGGATGGGGATTGGGTGGGCGTGGTGTGTAAGGATGGGGTTGGGAGGGCGTGGTGTGTAAGTATGGGGTTAGGAGGGCGTGGTGTGTAAGGATGTGGTTGGGAGGGCGTGGTGTGTAAGGATGGGGTTGGGTGGGCGTGGTGTGTAAGGACGGGGGTGGGTAGCCTAGTGGTTAAAGCGTTCGCTCGTCACGCTGAAGACCCGGGTTCAATTCACCCACATGGGTACTCTTTGAAAAGCCCATTTCTGGTGTCCCCCGCCGTGATATTTCCGGTAATATTGCTAAAAGCGGCGTAAAACCATACTCACTCACTCACTCCTTTGTGTTATACATATATCCCGCCTTGTGTTCGATCGTCATTCTGAAAACCCGGGTTCGACTCCCAACACTGGTACAGTGAATGAAGGCCATTTCTGGTGTCCCCTGTGATATTCAAGCATATCGACCGAAAGTTGGACCTGTCTTGACACGACGGTGCAACAGTGTCCAATGTTGCAACAGGTTACAGGCATGGATCATGGGGAACTGGCGACGCGCCAGTTAAAGACGTTAAAATATGGTACTTGTTGGTCCCTGCCTGGCGCTCGGCATTAATTGGTACAACAAGGACTGGTCGGCTCGGAGTCAGTATAATGTGTCTGAGTGGGGTATTCATGCTTCACTGCGGCATGGTATCTCAGTGGGCTAGCACTATAAAACCAGCTTCAGTCTGGGCCTTTTTCAAGCAGCCGCACATACACATACACATGCATGCACGTCGTCATATGAGCGAAATATTCTCAAGCACGACGTAAAACCCAATTTCACCTCACCTCACCTCCTACATACTGGTCATGCTATCATGTTACTTCTGCAAACAGATAAAATTAGTAAACGAAGTGTTATTTACCTTTATTACCCACGTGTTCAACGTATGGGTAGTTGCATACTAATCTCGTACGTCACACGAGTGTCGTATCACGTTGACCTGTGTCGTAACGACGTGACCTGAGATTCTAACGATTTGATTGGATAACCGATGACCTCTCAATTAGGTCACATTCTGACGTAACTATTTTTTCATTCATAACAAACACGTGAATTCATTCATTCTACAACTTAAATGCATTGTGGGAATGTAAACATCGCGAACGTTGCCGTGTCGCAGTTTAATTGTGAGTCGAACTGAGACATTATACCCGTCGAAAAACGTAAACGCAATGTTTCCACCAGTGATGTTAGCCGAATGAAGCAACTGCAAACCAACTGACTGGGTTTGGTTTTAAGCCGCTTTTAGCAATATTCCAGCAACATCACGGCGGGGGACACCAGAAATGGGCTTCACACATTGTACCCAAGTGGGGATTCGAACCCGGGTCTTCGGCGTGACGAGCCAACGCTTTAACCACTAGGCTACCCCACCGCCCCTGCAAACCAAGAAACGGGGTGCTACGGAGTAGTTTACTGTAGGAGGCTGTACGAGGCGATGACAACTGACATTCATCGTGACGTCGGTTACCAAGGCAGTGACGTCATGCTAATATTGTACTACAGTACAAAACTCTTCCGCAACCTTTTTATGAAACCGGTTTCGGTTTGAAACCAAAATATTAACAAATATACGCTATTTTGTCAATTTAATGCATGCAAGACGTGGGTAATAAATAAAATACCACACTCGGTCTCATTACATACGAATTATACGAAACTTGTGACCTTCCTATGTTATCTGACCTCACTTTCGCTTGGTCAGATACCATAGGAAGGACACCCGTTTCGAATAATTCGTATGTAATGAGATCTCGTGTAGTATTCTCTATATGTGCACATGTGCACATATTACTTTTGCCTAGCAACCATTGTTTCTGTGTTTCGTCGTCCGTGACGTCATTAAACAATTGAACGTGACGTCAATGAACGGTACAGTCACACTTGCTTACCGTGTTTTACTGCACAAATGTACATGAATAAAATGGATAGTAAAGAAGTTATTACACTTGCAAGTGAGCCATACGACTTAAACGAAACTCGTGCAAAATTTTGCATTGCTCTCGCATTCGTTTCGTATAAGTAGTATGGCACACTTGCTCGTGTAATAATCATATAGCAATATCGATCACCAAAACGCAGCAATATTCAAACAGTATTTGCATCCATTTCGCGTGTCGAATGATTCTATAGGGTATAAAGAGAGCCTAGAATGTATGATATGATACACAAGTACGAGAAATATGCCACGAGTAACAGCTGAAGAGAGAGACAGAGACATTGGGATGGTGCAGATGGGGGTCGACATACAATCCTGTTGCCAACGCCCTCGGATGCCACCGTATCACGGTTATAAGACTTATTTAGGGCTGTGCAGACAGACTGGAGTCACCGAAGACAGACCAAGCAGTGGACGTCCACGCATCACAACGCCAGCTGAAGCTGTAGTCTGTCATTAAGAAGGAAGGAGGGTAATTGTCAACATAATAACTTGAATTTACAATATCGTTGAGTTACTTGTCAACTTAAATAAGAACTTAAATTTTCAACTTATTGTTTTGAGGTTTTAAGATATTATTTTGAACTTTCAACTGACTATCTCACAGTTTCGAAATATTTCAAAGTGGCATAGCCCTAAGGGGTTCTAGTAAAATATGACTCGTTTGTTAGATGTAAACAAATCTCATCAAAAACATGTAAAAGACCAGGAATTTATCGAGGATTTAAAACTAAGAAAACCTAGCAGCCTAATTACGACAAATTCAGAAATTTATGTTTTCAAAAGTTGGAATTCTTTGAAGTTTTTAAGTTCTAAAAGTCAAGAGCTGTTTAACATTGTGCTTTGAGAGTGTACGTCTTCGAAGAACTACAATTATTTAGCAAAATTATTATTTATCCACATGAACATAAACTTTGGGAATTTTGTCTTTGTGATAAGATGTGTTTTGGAAGACATGTGTAGCACATGTGTGGCAGGATGTATTTCGAGATAAGTCAGATAAAACCAGAAAGAGGGCTTCTAGCTCTGATCCAGACGTGTGTCATTCAATATGCTCTTGGTCACTTTGCATGTTGTTGTCAACTCACATGTGTAAGTCTTGTAAAGATAGTGAAGGCGGTCTTTGTGTTTGTGACTTTGCGGGGGCGGTGGGGTAGCCTAGTGGTTAAAGCGTTGGCTCGTCACGCCGAAGACCCGGGTTCGATTCCCCACATGGGCACAATGTGTTAAGCCTATTTCTGGTGTCCCCCGCCATGATATTGCTGGAATATTGCTAAAAGCGGCGTAAAACTAAACTCAGTCAGTCAGTTTGTGACTTTGCGAGATATACTGTGTAATGGTTTGACCGCCCGAATGGTGAGTTATTTTACAGCCGTTTCTAGCCACACGGCAACCACGTGTGCGACAACCTACTGACTTCGGCAAGCGGTGCTGTGCTCTTCTGTACACTCAAATACTCTGACCTAAGATGCCTCCAAATATAGTTTGAGTGAGAATAGAGTGCATTTCATCCATAATTTTTATTAAACAAGTATCTGTTTCAGAGGCTATAGTCTATTTCGTCTAGAAATTTTGAGAGAATTACTTGCCCAAGATCAAGATAAACAAAGATATAAGGCGATCATGTATTTTGTTTAAAAGCATCACACAACAATATTCCAGGGGCGGTATTCTTAAAGGACTTAAGCCGAAAAAAATGACTTAAGTTCCAAATAAAAACGTAAGTTTTGACCTAAGACTTATGTTTTTTCTTAGTAACATTCACAAAAAGTATTAGACTTAAGTTTGTGTAATTTTCGACTTAAATCCTAAGCCTGCTGTTGGCTAGGCTAAACTGTATGTATGTAAGTTAAGTCAGTTGACAAAAATGGCTGCCAGACATGCCAATAGAAGAATTTACCGTCCAAGAAGTAACCCTTTTTATGACTTAACTCATTAAACGGTATTGTTTAGACAGGGGCGGCATACGGTTTGTAATTGATTTGGTCACGAATGCCATTCAGCCTAACACAGCAAGAAATCATGCAGTCGATGCCACTGTGAAAACACTTTTGACATTGCGCTTCCTAGCAACAGGAAAATTCCAGCTATGTAATGGTGATGACCATGGAGTTATTCAGCCTACTGTGTCCCGTGCTGTACATGAGACTGTCAGTGAACTGTCATCACACCGAATTCTCAGTAGATTTGTTCGCTTTCCGACACAACCCAACGAGATCCACACGAATCAAATGGCGTTCTATCAGGTGGCCCGGGGTTACTGGTGCTATTGACTGCACTCATGTGCAGATACAGGCTCCACGTGTCAACGAGCATGTCTATATATACAGACATCACCACCACAGTCTCAACACACAGGTAGGGTCTATACTTCTACATTCTAATCTCACGTCAATTCTTATGAGTTTATCAAATTGCTTCAATTAAAACAGCTATATTCAGTACTTTATGTAATAGTTTTCCAAGCTGTCATGCTGGTATATATATTAGAATACCACCCGTGAAGGTCCGGGGTAGAATATTGATCTTCAGTAACACATTCTTGTCGTAAGATGCGACTAACGGTATCGGGTGGTCAGACTTGCTGGCTTGGTTGACACATGTAATCGGTTTCCAATTGCGCAGGTGGATGCTCATGTTGTTGATCACTGGATTGTCTGGTCCAGACTCGATTATTTACAGACCGCCGCCATATAGCTGAATATTGCTGAGTGCGGCGTAAAACTAAACTCGCTCACTCACTTTTAGAATATCACCCCAGCTATATAACGGCGATCTGCAAATAATCGAGGCTGGACCAGACAATCCAATGATTGATATCATGAGCATCGATATACACAAATGGGATACGTTGACATGCATCAACGAAGTCAACCACCCGATCCCGTTAGTTGCCTTTCTTACGTGGATCTTGTATTACTGACACTCGGTCCATAAACATGATATGAATAACAGTAGCACAGTACACAATGTCAAACACACTTTAAATGTCTTGAAAGTTCAACTTACTATCTTGACTAATTTTAGATAAAAATAAAAATTTGAAACTAAACGAAAACAAACAAGACACCCAAAAGAACACATCCCTACACAGCTTCCATATCTTAGTACTTAGTATCTGAGTAGGTCTCTCTAGCCACGGGGACGTTTGTTGTCATGGACATCAGGTTGATTTAACATAATGTCTTCGATTTTTGTCAGCAACCTCGTAGGGCAACGCCTACTTGCAATAATCCAAACAAAGAGTTTTCTGACAAAACAGGTTTTCTGTATGAGAGCTTAAATATATTAACGTCAAGAACAACCTCTTATGGAAAATACTACTTGCAATGAACTATCCATGTAGTTTTCTGACAAAACAGATCCTCTGTATGAGAGTCGGAAATACAGTACCGTCCAAAAAGTATGCGTGAAGAAACCAGAAATGAAAACATAACCAATCTACAGAATAAATACAATTCATCTGGATTATACATGATAAAATATTTTCAAAACGGCACACTTGAATGCCATCATTTTGAAGAAAACGATATGAATGAATGCAGATAATTGGCTGTGGAACAATAAACTGGATATTAGTGGGAGCCAAACATTTACGTGACATATTCACTCCCTGCCTATATAAACAGTCTTGCATTATTGATTGAGTGATGCTTGAACATTATGAGAGTCCCGGCCGGCCACCTATGTAGTCGGACACTCGGATATATTCGCGTCCAGAAAGATTACTTTGGATTCAACTGTGTTCGAATATGCTGCTATCAACAACTATCATTTGGCTATTCTTCATTTTGAACCACCGGTATGTTTTTTTCTTTGTGTAGATTAGTGGTACGGACATTTAGTGATTCAGAAATTGTTGTTAATATGTTGTTTGATTCCGTGATTGTTGTTAATTGTTTTGTTTGATTCAATAATTGTTGTTTACTTGTTGTTTGATTCAATAGCATTCCGGTTGTATGACGTAGGCCAGTAAATATTCGAGTCTGGAACGGACAATCTAGTGATTGATATTGAGAACAATGATATGTTCTTAAAGCTATTCAAACAACGCTGTATAGATATATAATACCAAGAATGGTCGTCCGATATTGTAAGCTCCAAATATTTGTATGCATATTCATTATATAAACATGACATTGTCCATGAAACATATTTACAAGTATTATCCTCTATGCAACTCCGCAGATCTCTTACAAAATTTAGATGTGGCATCAGTAAACTGAATGTACAAACCTATAGAAGATCCAAAGATGATGATATCAGTTCTGCTATTTGCGCCCATTGCGTCAATATTGTCCAGGACGAGTACCACAGTATTACAATGCCCTGTTTATTCTGATTTACGCATCAGGTATATACCCCAATATTATTGTGTAAATCCCAACATACAGAAGTTTGTAAATTTAATAATCCCCAAAATGCAAATGTATTTTACGCCTAACCATATTTGTAAACAAAATCCATAATGCTTTATGATCCTTATAAATGCCAGTGTGCTTCTCATGCCAGTGCTCCAAAGAACATGATGTAAAAATGTCACTGTACGTTTGGCCTCATGGCCCCTCTACGAAATAAATCTGTCAGTCTGTCTGTCTGCAATAATTCTCGCCGTTGGGGTACAATATAGAATGGCAAATGATCAACCAAGACACCCAACTTTATCATGTAGTCAGCTTACAACCAGCAATGTTTGCTGGGACCCTTTTTAAAAATGAACGAGTTGGACATCACGGCAGTCGACCCAATAACCCTAAATAAACATGTAGCAAAGCACTTTGCATGAAATATGATGTGCACTTTGTTCACGTGCACGTGCACTTTGTGCACAATGAAATTACTCACTTTATCATGTTTTTCTTGACACCTGAAGTTCACACACCTGATTTTGCAAATTGAAGAATGGTGGATTATTCTCTAGCTCTTGAATGTTGAGAAAAATACATGTACGTTCATTTCAACCTAAACTACAAGTAGGACGTAGGGCGCCCAACATCTGGCCTCGACGGTCTGCGATACGTCCAATGCTGCTCCTGCGTCACCGACAGGCACGTCTTGCCGGGTACATCACCGGTACAGGTTCATTCAATTACAGAGACGTAACTTCACGCTTCAGCAAGATAATGTCCATCCACATGTCCACCGTGTTGTGACAGATTTCCTGAGATAACAAAACATTCTGGTACGCACCTGGCCAGCTGTTTCTCCGGACCTGTCCCCTATCGAGCACACTTGGGATGAAATGGAGAGACGTTTACGTCAAGCCCAGAATCAGCCATTGACGTTAGTTGAATTGGGAAAAGCGTTTGTTCAGATATGGAATCATATTCCCAAGCTTTCTTCAATCGCTTAGTGTCTATGCGTCGTCATTGTCAAGCCTGCATCAATGCCAATGGTGGACACACACGATACTGACATTGTAAACTGTCTTTTGACACCACATCTCTTCAAGGGCGTGTCACGATGCCAAGTGCAAAATCATACCGCTTTCGATATTATCCTGTCAACAGTTAAACAGGAAAACACCACAAATCATGTTATTATCACTTTGTATTAAAAATGGTATAATATTAAATAATGCACAGCTATCTTATTCCAGTGGTATATGTGCATTTCCATTTCAAGGGGTCGGGAACAACGCCCCACCCCACCCCGACACACCCCCCACCCCACACACCCCACCCCACACACACACACACACACACACACACACACACACACACACACACACACACACACACACACACACACACACACACACACACACACACACACACACACACACACACTGTAATTTCTTCTTATCCGTCAGTTTTCGTTATACGTTACAATTCTAATTTACTGTAATTTCATATTATCTGTTCTGTGTTCCAGGCTACAATGTTCCGATGCGAGTGTGCACCATCTGAAATTCGCCCACTTTGGGGACTACAAGGACAAGATCAGAACTAGCAGGATCATCAAGAATGGGTCCACCAGAAGCATGGTACATTGTGCTCAGCTCTGTTCAGGGATTGAAGCATGCGTTTCTTTCTTCCACAACAAGAACACAAGACACTGTAGTCTCCATGACGTCATCTTTTTCAGCCCGGATGATGGCACTGACAGTCCAGGAATGAAGTATTACGTTTACAATGAAGGTAGGTATTTATTTGCATTTAAGAGTAGATATACAAATTTGACCAAACTCTTTGTTGCTTTTTCTTTCCAGAAATAAGGTCACAGTAATCCCTGACAGTAGAGACAGTTGAAAAATGAGGACTGAATCTGATATATGGCATGCTTGTCGTAAGAGACGACTAATGGATTCAGGCTCGCTGACTTGGGTGATACATGCCATCGTATCCCAATTGCGTAGATTGATGCTCATGATTTCAATCACTGGGTTGTCTCGCCCAGACTCGACCAAGTACAAGCCGGCATCATATAGCTGGAATATTGCTGAGAGCAGCATCAACCAACAAATAAAGAATGCAATATGCTTATTTGTGTTCCAGAAAGATGTTCATTCTCGGACGATTTCGCCTACAGTCGCACAACTGGCGTGTGTCTCAAGATTTCGTATGCGGACATGTATAAAAATTATCCTAACTCTAAGAAGTACTGCGAGGTCCGTAATCTTCGGCTTGCTGTCATCGATAGCCAGGACAAGTACCAGTACACCGTCAGCACAATCAGACAGTCATCACGTGAGTCCTTGGTTTTGGTGGGTTGTGAGGTGAGGTGAGGTGAAATTGGGTTTAACGTCGTGCTTGAGAATATTTCGCTCATATGACGACGTGCATGCGTGTGTATGTGTATGTGCGGCTGCTTGTACTAGCCCAGACTTAAGCTGGTTTTATAGTGCTAGCCCACTGAGATACCATGCCGCAGTGAAGCATGAATACCCCACTCAGACACATTATACTGACTCCGAGCCGACCAGTCCTTGATGTACCCATTAATGCCGAGCGTCAGGCAGGGACCAACAAATACCATATTTTAACGTCTTTAGGTATGACGCGGTCGGGGATCGAACCCGCGACCTTCCGCTCTCCGGGCGGACGCTCTAACCACTACACCACGGAAGCGGTCCTTGGTGGGTTGTGTGTTTATGGAGTTTGAAAAAGGATAAAATAAGCCTCAGATGTAATATCATGTAGTGGACATGCAAGATTGTTTTTGTTCATGTAAGCCAAGTGGGTAGAGTGCTCGCTCGTCACCTTGAAAACCCGGGTTCGATTCCCTGCAACGATGCGTGAAGCCTGTTTCTGGTTTCCACTGTAGTGATAGTGATGGGATATTGCTGTATTTACTCACTCTTGGTGTAACGCTGAGCTGAGCCGTCCATGTTGACAACACCAGTGAGAAATGGTCCAAAGAAGCCTATTCTTACCGTAGGAGGCAACTCAATGGACAAAGGGGTCAGATTGGGTGACTTACCCGATTGCGTTACCAAAAACGCGCCGATCGGCATTGGCGGATCCAGAAATTTTGAAAGGGGGGTTTCAGGGGGTCCGCCAACGCGAAAAAGCCTTCAATGTAGTCTTAAGTCATTTTCGGGGGTGGGTGGGGGTGGTGGGGGTTTGGGTCCCGAACCCCCTGAACCCCCCTCTGGATCCGCCAATGATCGGTCCTCATCCATTGGAGTCTCTGTTTTCACACGTTATTTTCTTTTACCGAATGAATGAGTGAGTGAGTGAGTGAGTTTTACACCGCTTTTAGCAATATTCCACCAATATCACGAAGGGGGACACCAGAAATGGGAATAAATGAATGAATGAATCAACGAATGAATATGTGCTTTCTCATATCTATATTTTGTTGTTTGGCAAAGTTCATGAACAAATGTTTGTTTTGTATCAGGTTACCCTGCCAACAGGAACTACTATATAGGTCTGACTGACCTGAAAAATGAAGGGCAGTTTGTGTGGATAGACGGCACCAATGCCACATGGACCAACTGGAGGTTCAACCGTCCAAAGATGGATAAAACAAGGAACTGCGTCATTTTGGCAGGGAATAATTATTACAAAAGCAAACTTAAATTTGTGGATAAAGAATGCAAAATAAATCCGTTTCGATGGATATGTGAGAAAGTCCTCAAATAATATTCAGTAAAGTCAAAACACCTTTATACCTTTGTGTCCAAGTTGAAGGAACATTATAAGTTGTTCACTGATCACGAGGGGGACATGGGTTGATGTACCCATTCGGGCTCAGTGAGCATAGAGGGTACATCAACCCATGCGCCCCGAGGGACCAGTGAACAACGTATTTATCTTACCGAACACCTTAATGTTAATTTTGAATTGTTTGAAGCACGGGTACAAATCTTTTTGTAGCCATCGCGAGATTTTGCTGACAAGAAAAACAGATTTAGAGTTATCTCCCTTCCATCGATTTGCATTCGCAAAACATCGGTATTTTCCGTACATCATACATGATTCAACGTTATTCGAGATAAAGAATTACTACCACGAAGTACAAAATGAGTTGCCATTGACAGCGGGGTACATTGAAAATAATAGAAGAGCGTTCAGTCAATCAGAAAGCGACATTTATGTGTGAGGTAAGATAATAACCCATGGGCCACGAGGGACCAGTGAACAACATATTTATCTTACCGAACACCTCAATGTTAATTTTGAAGTGTTTGAAGCACGGGTGTCAGATCATAATAAGGATTACCAGAGTTAGGCAATTGACCAATACCGACAACAGCCCAAACACTACTAACAGGATGTACCAAATGAATTCCCACAGTTCGGCATTCCCAGCGGGTAACATAGAAAATGTTACTCGCTTGTAAGCGGCGAACATTGGTTGGCTCAACCAATCAGAAAACGACATTTATGTGTGTGAGGTAAGATAAATAAGTCGAGTTGTCCGAGGTTGGGCACAATCGAAAGACACGAACAGACAACCGAATGTCCAACACATCGATCCTCGACAAAACGGTGTTTGACTGAAGTTGTATGGTTGACATAATCTGATATAGGGATACGTGTGCAGATTCTAGATACGCGCTGAAATGATTCCCAGATGTTATAAGGCTGGTGTCTCAAGTACAAACCCGGAAGAACACATTTCACAAATAAATATTGTACCGCATTTTCTGCTGCATGTTTTTATCCTTTTTTCAAGTGTTCTATCCTACATTTTTAACTGTAAGATGACATCAGAGCCAGGGTCATTTCCAGTAAGGTGGGGGTAGCCTAGTGGTTAAAGCGTTCGCTCGTCACGCCGAACACCCGGGTTCGATTCCCCACATCGGTACAATTTGTGAAACCCATTTCTGGTGCTGGAATATTGCTAAAAGCAGCGTAAAACCATACTCAGTCAGTCAGTTAGTCATTTCCTGTACAGCTGGTGTCAGTGTCAGTTATCTGCTTTCTTTACCTTTGATAAAAATCGTCTTATGATGACATATTTATGGTAGTGGAAACTTATTTCTGCTCAGTGTCTTGTTTATTTGTATTTTTTCACGATTTGTTTTATTTCATTGCATATTTTCTTGTTATTTAAATTGTTCTCGTTACGTCTGTTATTTTACATTAATGGTGTCAGAGTGGCACCAAGGCTTACTTAGTTTAAAACCACAGTTAGTAATGTTCACTGTAGGACGAGTTAAGATTTAACGTGGAATTTCACGTTTTAAGCGGTGAGACAACGTTAGAACATAGACATGAGTGTATAAGAACAACAAAATTTGACTTAATATGACGTCGACCTGTAAACAATACCAAGACTGTTTTAAAAGTACATAAACTTACAAGCTGAGAATTTGGCATGTCACAGTTTGGTCGAATGTCGATCCTTTATCAAAATGGTAGAATGGAAGAGCCAAACAACTTGCATCGCGTCATTCAAATTTCTAGATCATGATGGGCTATGAAGAATTTGCTTAATTAAATCTTAGTGCAAAACACTGCACAGAAATATCATAAGCAAAGTACACACAGACGTTTTTAACGCATTTACTTAACGTGTGGATGTACCAAAATATTTTTAGTAGTGGATGCAGTGTATGTAATAAAATACTTTTGGTCACTTCGCATGTTGTCGTTCATTATGTTGTACTGATTAATGTAATCTGTCTTTAGGTTTGTGAATTGGCGAGAGTTGCTGTTTAATGGTTGACCGCCCGAATTGCGTGATTGAGTGATTTTACAGCCGTTTCTAACCACACGACAAACTACTGTGCGACAACCATCTGACTTTTGCAAGCATCGCTGCGCTCCTCTATATACACAAGTTCTCTGATGCTTCAAAATATGAAGTGAATGAGATTGGAGCGTATTACATCGCATAGTTTTAATTGAACAAGCACCTGTTTCAGCAGCTATCGTCCATTTCGTCTCTAAAGGTTTCAGAGAAATACTTGCTCAGCAGATATATCAAGATAAAAGGCGACCATGTGCATCTTTGGTTCAACGCCTCAGACAGTTAGTATTACAGCTAAATGATCTAATCTGAACCAGACAATCCAGTAAATGATATCATGAGCATCAATCTACACAAATGGGAGACGTTGATATGTGTCAACCAAGTCAACCAAACGATCCCGTAAGTCGCCTTTTACGACATGCAGGGTTGCTGAAGATTAATTCTTACGTGGATCTTGTATTACTGAAATACTGTCCATCAACATTGAATAACAGTAACCCAGCACACAATATCAAACACACTTTAAATGCCTTGATAGTTCACCTTACTAATTTCATTTTTTTAAAAGAAAAATCAAAACTGAAACTAAAACAAAACAAACACAACAGACACGAGAACATATCCCTCAAAGTGAGTGAGTGCGTGAGTTAAGTTTTACGCCGCTGTTAGCAATATTCCAGCAATATTACGGCGGGGGACACCAGAAATGGACTTAACACATTGTGCCCATGTGGGGAATCGAACCCGGGTTTTCGGCGTGACGAGCGAACGCCTTAACTACTAGGCTACCCCACCGCCCCTATCCCTCAAAGGCTTCCATATCATAGTAAGCCTTTCTAGCCACGGTGAAGGTTTGTTGCCATCTCCTTGATAGATCATAATGACTTCGATTTTTGTCAACATCTTCTTATGGAAAATACTACTTGCTAGGAACCATCCATGTAGTTTTCTGACAAAACAGATCTTCTGTATGAGAGTCGGAAATACATTAACGTCCGACAAGGCCGATACGTGAAGAAAATCAAAACTTGTCTACAAAATAAACACAATATATCTGTACCCTACACGATAAAATATTTTCCAAACGACATACTTGATTGTGATCATTGTTGCAAGAAAACGATATGAATGAATGCAGGTAATTAGTCTTTGGACAATAAACATTATATTATTGGTGGTCAAAACATTTACAAAACACATACACTCTGTGAACGCTAGGAGAGTACTGCCCGGCCACCTATATAGTCGGACACTCGGACATATTTGCGTCCAGAAAGATTACTTTGGTGTCTACTTGGGTTGAAATGCTGCTATCAACAAATATCATTTGGCTTTTCTTCATTATAAATGACAAGTATGGTTTTTGGTTCTGTAGATCAGTGGTACTGACATTTAGTGATTCGGAAATTGTTGTTAATTCATTGTTTGATTCAGTAACTGTTGTTTGATTCCGTGATTGTTGTTTATTTGTTGCTTAAGTACACATTCTGGCTATAGGACGCAGGCCAGCAAATATTCCAGTCAGGCAATCCAGTGATTGATATTGAGAGCAACGATCCACGCCGTCGGGGTACAATATAGAATGGCAAATGATCAACCATGATCAACCAAGTCACCTAGCCTTATCATGTAGTCAACTTACAACCAGCAGTATTTGCTGAGACCCTTCTTAAAACTGAACGAGTTGGACATCGTGGGAGGGGGACCCGAGAACTGGCCTTCACTCACTGTACCAGTGTTGGGAGTAGAACGCTCGAAGTATTAGGCTTCCTCAAGTCACTGGATTGTCTGATTTGAAGAGCATGGAGAGTAAAGTCGCAGTGCAAACTATTTTGTGTTGGAAAATCAGAGGTATATAACGAAATTATAATACTAGTACCTCTAAATTTGATTTATAACTGAACGCGTAGCATGAGGTTCTAAGTAAAAATTTTAGAGCTATCATATTTTCCAACAAAAAATGTTTATCTCCATTCTACCGTAATCGTGTTATTAAGATTTAAAAAAATATATACTGTGTAATATATACTAATATTTAAAAATCAGCGGTATATAACGTGAATATATACCTCTGAATGACTTTCATTAACCAATCACAATCCAGTATTTCCTGAAGTCATGGAAAAATTCTATTTAACACTTCACTCAGCAATATTTAGTAATCAACTAGATTGACGGAAACTTTAACAGTTTTAAATCAATCTAGTTTAAAAATCACAAAAGACAAAGGCATGACGTAAAATGTATTGACAACATTAACGTGTATTATGTACTTGACTGTAAAACTGAAAGACGGGAATTTTCACTCATAACTACGCCAGCCGTAAATGTATCACGTTCTTCACTTTACACATTTTACGTTTTTCACAAGACAGGCAACATATCCTCAATCTCAATGAGATATAACATTTACAATGAAAGTTATACAACAACCGATATCGGCTTGCCAGTTGCCTGTTTGGGGATGGGGTAGCAAAAACAAGGTCTCCACGAAATCGACAGTGGGCATCTCAAGTGGCTAAAGTTCTTTACATATACTGGACAAAAATAGTTAAGGATATATGTAAATTTTGAAATTATGAATAATTATCTATTTATTCATTGACACGTTGATAAAATATCAATCATAGAAATACCAATATCCCTTACTTATTTTGTCCAGTATAGATAGCGTTTTTGTTCAGCTCCTGGTACAAGACGAACATTGAACACAGAATAAGTCAGTCGTCTGATGACTGACTGACTGACTGACTGAGTTTGGTTTTACGCCGCTTTTAGCAATTTTCCAGCAATATCAAGGCGGGGGACACCAGAAATGGGCTTCACTAACAGTACCCATGTGGGGATTCGAACCCGGGTCTTCGGCGTGACGAGCCAACGCTTTAACCACTAGACTTCCCCACCGCCCCAGTCGTCTGATGATGTCACGTGGGATATGCCA